ATGGGTACCTAGCGTTGAAATCTGCCGTACCCTTTTCACAGTGCATATTATACAGTTTCTATCATGTGCACTGTGGGACTCGTAGCGTCGGGTCGTACTTGCTAGGTTCCATGCTACCCAGATTTCTAACGTCTGTGCCTTCTGTCAATTTGCAATTTGAGAAATGATAAGTGATAGCGCGTTTGATTCTAGACGCGTAAAAAAGTTGGGATGACGCGACTTCCTTAACATAAGTTTGCCTCATCAACATGCCACCTAGCAACTCTCTCTACAGCGGCACACTTTCATTTCTTCCTGTTTACCTATCGTAGTCTTATTCTATCGAATTCTATTGAATTCTTCTAATATTTCTACGTGAGACTACATTTATTTATTTATATTGTTCATGTGCGGTATCAAGAGTGCGATAGAACACCTACGTCCATTGGCACTATAAAATCGTAGCCAAACGATGGATGCGAATCCTCCTATCAAGCCCGAGCCTCCGGGTTCCGAGGATCGTTTCGTTAAACCGGAACCTTTGGATGATCCAATGACGGCACCTCCAATTTCTAGGGTTGCATCAGAACAACCTTCACACAATGTCCCGACTACGACTTCTAGTGCTCCTTTGTCACCCGATCCTTTCAGTCCCGCTCGCCAGACTGAAGCAGGAATGTCAACTTCTCCGAATGCTCCTATCAAGGCTGACCCGGAGATAGAGCAAGATAAGAATCTAAACCCATCTGATGTGGAATCGAGTGGCACGAATTATCTCGATCAGCTGATCACTGTGACTGTTCCCGAAACACTAGAGACTGGAGTGACAATTGGTATCGACCTCCTAGATCGACTGAAAGTTCATCTGAGTGCTTTTAAAAATATCGATGTTGATACGTGGCTCGATACAATCAATACGTTAAAAGAGAGTGCAAAGCCAACGCGCACCGTCGTAGGTGTTGTTGGCAATACCGGCGCTGGCAAGAGCTCCGTCATCAACGCACTTCTAGATGAAGAACGGTAAGATCTCGATTACTATTGCTTTCTCAGCCCGTCCTCCCGTCATCTCTCCCTTCCTACCCCCTTTTCTCGCACGATCACCTAAACCTACAGTGCATTTGGACGTGTACTTAAAAGTGTCTAGATTACTTCCTACAAATTGTATACGCGCATGTACTGCGTCACCAACTGAGATTTCGTATAATCACTCGGATGATCCCTCCGAATTATACCGGGCTGAGATTGAATTCATCACTGCCCAAGAGTGGATCAAGGAACTCCAGATATTATTTAACGATCTGTTAGACGGCAATGGTGCAGTTTCGCGCGACTGTTCCAATGCCGATAGCGAGGCCGGTGTTGCCTACGCGAAGCTAAAAGCCGTTTATCCGCACAAGACTAAGGAAATGATCGCTGAAGGGACACCACAAGATTTTGCCAACGAACCGGCTGTTCGAGGGGTGCTCGGTAGTGTCAAGATCCTTAAAGAGAATTCCGCGAAGAGTCTATATAGTCGGTTACAGCATTATGTCGACAGCAAGGAGAAGATCACTGGGAATGAGAATAGAAAGCGAAACGTTCCTATGGAATATTGGCCCTTGATCAAAGTCGTCCGAATTTACACCAAGGCAAAGGCGCTGTCTACGGGAGCCGTGCTGGTCGACTTGGTAAGTTTCTCAACCCGCCTCGTAAAATAGGGACCTTCTTTTACCGTCTCATTATGAAGAGGAAGTAGTCTTATACTGACCCAATTAGCCGGGTGTACAAGATTCCAATGCTGCTCGAGCAGCGGTGGCGGAAAAATACATGAAGTCGTGTACCGGTTTGTGGATCGTGGCACCTATTACCCGAGCCGTTGACGATAAAACAGCCAAGTCACTTCTCGGCGACTCTTTTAAGAGGCAATTGAAATACGACGGCACGTATTCGGCTGTTACCTTTATTTGTTCCAAGACCGATGATATATCCATTACGGAAGCTGTAGACAGCCTTGGTCTCGAGGAAGAAATATCCGAGTCCTGGAGTCAAACTGGAGAATTGAGAAATTCTATAAAAACTTCCCAATCTCTCTTAGAAGAATTGATAGACAAAAAGACTGCACTTGGCGAGCAGGTCGATGAGATTGAAGCCAGCTTGGACATATGGGAGGACCTACAAAGCCAGCTTTCCAGCGGAGAGACGGTTTACGCACCGTTCGAAAAGTCTAGGAAGAGAAAGAGGCCTTCCAAGTCCTTCCAGAGTCGCAAGAGCCGCAGCCCGTTCGGATCTGATATCGATAATGTCGATGATGATAATGGCCAGGATGCATACGAGTATGACTCGAGTGATAAGGAAAATTCGCAGTCGATCCGCACCGGCCAACCTCTTACCAGCGATGACATTGACGAGAAACTTGTATCACTTAGGGCACAGAAGAGAGAAATACGTGACGAAAGGCGAGGCCTTGATACACAAATTTCAGATATTCGCAAGCAGATACGGGAGGCAAAAGCTGAGCGACAAGGAATTCTTGCTAAGATCAAGGCACGATGTATCCAAGGACGCAATAATTATTCTCGCGGTGCAATTAAGCAGGACTTTGCTATGGGAATCAAGGAGTAAGTCTACTATTTGTTAACACTAACCTATTACCATATCACAATTACAGCGATATTGATTAGTCTTCCACTTATCCGCTGACAATAATTAGACTTGACCAAGAACACGCTGCGGAAGAAGATGACACGACATTCGATCCCGATCAAGATATTCGCGACTATGACGAGGTTGCTCGTACTCTACCCGTGTTCTGTGTGAGCAGTCGTGCTTACCAGAGTCTAACCGGGAAACTCCAAAAAGACGACTTCCAAGATCACGGCTTTATGTCTCTGGAAGACACAGAAATCCCGCAGCTTCAGCTGCATGCGAAGAAGCTAACGGAAGAAGGACGAGCAAGTAACTGCCGTAGATTCCTTAATGATCTAACCCAATTGATCAATTCCATGAAATTATGGGCCAGTAGCGATGGAACTCAATCTACACTGACGGATGTGGAGAAGAGGCGCGAGGAGATGCATTTGCGCAAACTCTTGAATGATTTGGAGACAGTACGTTGTTGTCTAGTTGTTTCTGTCCTATGATTTCCCCATACTATGTTGCTGCTAGTGCAGGCGGTTTTGCTCATTCCAACTATTCGTAACATAACGATTTTAGTTGCTAGTTACTCGTTAGTTTCTCTGCCTAATCATGACTAACATTTCGTAGGGATTCGATACATCTGTTAAGGAGGCAGTAAAACTACTTAAGGAGTCACTTCGAGAGCATGTTTATTCCGTCTTCACGTCGTCTATTCCAGGGGCTATCTCTGCCGCCCCCAATACCGCAAGCGGATGGTCAGCGCCTAAACAATTAGGCGGTATGGTCTGGGCGACATATAAAGCAACCGTTCGACGGAGCGGTGTTTATACCGGGGCCTCGGGTCCGCATGATTTTAACCAAGAGTTATTCGACCCAATTTCTCGCAATCTGGCGACGGGGTGGGAACGCGCATTCCAGCGTCGGCTACCAGCCGTCCTTGACGAGTTTGCAGCAAAGGCAAAGAACCAACTAAAAGCGTTTCATGAAGCTGCCCAAACCCGCGCTCAGCAACGCCATACTAACGTATCAGGAATAATTACCCTGTCCAGTCAGATACTAGCCCACATGCGTACAATAGAACAACTGCCAATTACCTTGCGAGCCGTAATCACTGACCTTCAAAGAGAGGCTAGTCGACAATTCACTCCTGCTATCTGCAGCGCCATGCAGTATGCCTATCAGGTTTGCACAGAGGAGCGCGGCCCCGGTTCTTATAATCGTATGAAAGCAGCAATGGCGAACCATGTCGAAACTTCGCGTTACACCATGTTCAACGAGGCTACTGATACGGTGAAAGCACAACTGGAAGCGATGTGTCGTACTGTCCAAAAGAGCCTAAGTGACGAAATGGAAGACATGTTCAGTTCTATCTTTCGCGATTACATGAAGGTTCTTGGTGAGTACTTAACTATTACGGCCTACATAATTTTTGATGCTAACACTACCACAGTTGGCACCACCGTCGACCGTCACGCCAGGCTGCCACCTCAAGAACTTGCCATGCGAGCAGATGTTAACGACTTCCTGCAGCATTGCGACTTGATGTTTTCCCCTGTTCTAGGCGAGGCGACCGTCGGTGAATGTTTGGAAGCAAAAGGCACAACCCAGACATCTGAAGCGGACCCAATGATAGAGGGTGAGAACGAGTATGGCGGGGAAGTGGCATCTGTCAAAGTAGAAGCCCCGAGTGAGACCCAAGTCTCTATCGACGTACCTAGCGAGGCTAATGCCAACCACGCTATGCAAGATGTGAAGTTTAACTCAACGCTGGCTGAAGCTGATGAATTAATGCAGCAACAAATTCGAGCGCAAAGCCAAAGCGTTGAGGGCGAGTGAAAGTTCCAACCATACGTTTCTTTTCCGGGAAACATGTAAAGCCACTAGCGGGCTCTAAATCGATCGGCCATATGGGGGATCGTATTCCCTTCTATTTCGTTCTGTGAAAGGGTGTCGGCAACTCCCCCGGTTCGGTAGTGAGCTTGGTCTGGCTTGGTGTGTTTGTGTGTAAAAGGAGTTGGCTTGAGGATAGGTGGTAGTAGCAGGGTTGCTATCGTACGGTGGTTGGCAAAAGTTTATAAGGGTAGATCAAGTTAGCTAGGTAGGTAGCTATATAGGAACTGTCCCAAGCTGCTATGTAAACATGGTTCGCATAGCATAGCCTTGAACTATTGAAAAATCACACTAATGTTTTTGGTAATTAGTCTCATGACTTCCCATTATGTGTAGCTATTTTAGGTTGATGGTATGGCCCCTTAGATTGTCATCACGTAACTGTGCTGTCTTATTTTGGATAGATAGGAACACACGCTCTTTTGGGGCCTGGCCCTCGTAGTGTTAACTCTTATGTAAACTTGCTAATCATTTCGTCTAGCCGCAATGAAGCCTGGTGGAAGGGAGGCAAACAAATAACATCTCATCCTACTATATAATAGTTAATAGCTACACAATGTATGCCGTGTAGCTACAATGTGAATAGTAACACTGCGATGATGAATCCGACCTAAGTCCCCTCCTTGGGACTCCCACAGAAGGCGAATGACAAAACTAAGGATGCGCAGGTATCCCCATCAAATATCATATTTAAACACGTTTGTCCCCCGGTTCTACTCGGGTAGGTATTCACATCTCCCCTTCATCTCGATATCGTAGTAATGGTCTTAAATAACAGTTCCGAATCACTATTTTCATGGTCTCCGTCTTCCATCTACCGGCGTCAACTCAGACGAGAACGACGATACGGATCCTTGTCTCTCGACGGTGTTTTTCGTAGGCATCATTTCTACGGTCTGTCCACCTCTATATACCGGCGGTCCGCCGTATATAGGGCCAGGCGTGTACGGAGGACTGGGATCGTTCGAGGTGCTGTTACGGCGACGATGGTCGTGTCTTGTAAACGGAGGGGAGACGGTATTAGGAGGTATGTTGTTGGGAAGAGGAGTATCGGTTTGAAGCTTCTCTCGGCGGCGCATTTCGTTTAACACGGCCGTCATAACCCACATCAGCCAGGCGAATGCCGACACGATGGAATAGGCGATGATTAATCCCTCGGATGCCTCTGCTAGTTTCAGCCCGAGCCCGCCGTTGATGATGCCTAGGGTGATGGCAATGCGGCCGAGCCACAGGTGCGCGTGCGAGTAGAAGGTTCGACGCCGTAGACGCTTGAACTTGGAATGGTGGGCGAATCCGAGTTGCGGCTGTATGAACATTATCACGAGCAGGACGATGCCGATGATGGGGTGTGCGTTTTTCGATGGTATTTGTAACTATTTTGGTTATTAGCAGACTACCTAAGGCTTCGTCTTATTATATATTAGGAGGCGGGAAGTTAGGGATAGATAGGATAGAATCGAAGAAAAGGGGTGGGGTTACTTACCAAACTAGAACCATCAGGAGGGATCCTCACCATCTCTATAAGATGTATCCCCAGCGCAGCAGCGGCAATGTATAGGATGAACCCGACAATCTGGGTCGCAGCGTGGATGATCCAAGTGTGTCGACTAGGTAGTAATCGCACGAGGATGGCGCCGATGGGAAATATCACGACGAAACATAACGCGGCGATGATACCGTGAGCCGTGCGATATCGAATCGCCTTATCGACGTCGAAGTCCGCAAACACGCTCAGGCCACCTCCTATTGTGCTTGAACTGCCCGGCCCGTTCCCATAGCCGCTGCCTCCGTTGTTCCCGATCCAGCTCGCCCAAACATAACCACCGTCGTCGCTGTCGTATGGACCCTGGGCTTGTACACTCCCCGCTGCGCAGATACAGTAGTTAGCCCCTGTCAAAGATTTACTTACTTACTTCTATCTAAGTATCTAGAGATCGTGAAGAAGATAGTTATTCCATCCACCAAACCTTATAAGTAACTATAGGAAAAGAAGCAGGTGGTCAGAACTTACCTAACAAAGCGAGGTATAAGCCGAAAAAAGCATCAACCGACTTCATATTGACACGCGGCCCTCTGATAAACCAATGAATTCAATACAATACAATTCAGCCCTGTCTTTACTCACTCATCTACGCCGTGTCAAAATGATACCACATCAAGCGTGCGAGATGCAGGATATAACTCAACAGACAGTTAGTTGCCTTTGTATGTAAGTTCTCGGGGGGGGGGGGGGGGGGGGGGGGGCGGGGCGGGGGGGGGGGGGGGGGGGGGGGGGGGGGGGGGGGGGGGGGGGGGGGGGGAT